TGCATGAATAATGAATCTATGGCCCTCAGAAGGAAAGGGCTTCAGGAATGAAAGCTAGAAAGAGAGCAATCTCAGTCCTGGTATGAGTCCCTGTTCAACTGGTCTCCCTGGTTAACTACCCTCATCTCGGCTCTCGCTGGACCCCTCGTTCTCCGACTCCTGCTACTAACCCTTGGGCCGTGTATCATCAACAGGCTAGTCCAGTTTGTCAGGGACGGCATGGGGGCCGTCCAGCTAATGGCCCACTGTGCCCAATACAAGCCCCTAGGAACAGAAGGAAGCCAAATAGAAACGCAGCTAGTCCCATGATTGGTCCCATAAGCAACATGAACAGGGGGGAATTGAAGAGCAAACCGGGACCGGATTCTCCCCCAGTCAATCAGGACCAGGATCCTCCCCCAGCCAATCGGGACCGGATTCTCCCCTTACCAGTCAGCAAAAAGCCTGCCAACTCCCCAGCCAATCAGCCAAAGCACCCATCACCCCACCAACCGCCCCTAGACCCCTACAAAACCTTTGTGCTTTTGAAACTCGCTCTCTGCAGCATCTTGCCGCTGTGTAGGTGAAGATAGGAGACTGAGCTCGAGCTAGGTCGAATAAAGGCTCTTTGCTTTTGCATCAGACTCAGCTCCCTAGCAGTCTTTGGGGATCACAAATTCTGGGCATAACTGCAGTAATCAATAACCTTTCTGACTGTACAAAACTTAAATACTGTGTACATATAGACTGTGGCATACATAAGCCATATCCACGATCTTTATCTGTATTGCAGTTTCCTGCTGTTGGGACATGAATATTTTGTGAGATGACCCTGTAAAGCAAAGTTGTATCCCATAGGAAAATCTGGAAGGAATGAGGCTCCATGGCAGGCATCCTGCGTTCAAACATTTGAAACTAAGCTTTAATTCAGTTTGCAAAAGGAGCAAATGAGAAATTGTAATTTTGGCCATACTTTAAACTTCGTTTAAAAATATTTTATGATATTTGATTTTAGCCCTAGGACTATTATATGTGACGGTAACTCTTAGTTATAATATATCTGAAAATATAAAATACCAAATACTTATTCAATATGGAAATAGCTGAACCTTTGCATTCAGAAGTCAGAAACATATAATATAGCTTTTGAATGGTAGATTTTTTTCTTGTGTATTTTTGCTTCAAGAAACAGAATATATAGTAAAAATAAACCATTTTTACATGTTTTACATCCATTATATTTCAACAATGTTCAGAAAATAATGCAACTGAAATGAAGAACACTATATATTAACTTAACATTTACATTAAATCATTTGCATTATTTAACCAGGGAAGAATTATCCCATTTTACGTTGTAGGTAAATTCACTTATTTAAATGAGTACAATTAATATCCTGATCTATGAATGCAAAATCCCAGGCAGGGTCAGAATTCCATAGGACATCTCTATGGACTAAAGTTTAAATTATAAACTAACGACTTATCCAAAAGTTGTGCAAAAGTACAGGTAAGTCAACTCCTGCTTTAGGGTCTAGCAGCTAAATGGTTGTTGCACTAGTCTGCTGTGATCCATTCTGATTAGACATTAACAAGGTATGAAACAGGCAGAAACAGATTTTTCAGGAATTTTTATGGCAACTCCACTTCTGCTATTCTCAAGACTCAGGTTTGTCGCCCTAGAAATTTGGAGCAATATATATAATAATTTAATTGACATAACCAAATACATGTTTACATGTGATCTCTCCAAATGGTCTGAAAGTCCCTGGAGGGCAAACCTTCATCCAAGTCTATTTATTCATTTGTGTGGGAATATTACTGTAATCTGGCAGAAAGTCAAAAGTTCTTTTTCCAGGATTACAGGACAAGGCTTCAACTAGGGTCATGTGGTCACAGATGGGCAAGGGAATTAAGGACAATATGCATATTCCTAAGTAAGAGAATTCTTTATAGTAATAGGCAATCCTATCCAGAGATCTATCCACTTTATAACTACCTGTGGAATCTAGATGAGAATATGAAGTACTGTGAGAGAGCAGTACAAGCATTTTTCACCTCCTCCCAGCAAGAGGGACTGTAGGTTCTGTCTGCTCACCATCTGATTACTATGCCAGCTCTACCAACTCCTGTTCTTTGGGTGTGTGACCCTGGGCTCTGATCATTATATACTACTTCACTTTAAAGAAATTAAGTGTTAAAAGAAAATAGGACAGGGATAAATAAGATGGAGGTAGGGATAAGATGGTATTACAAATTGCCTACCATAGGCTCCTGTGTACCAGCAAAAGAGAGCCCACAATTTGGCTCTGAAAAACCTGAGCAGCCAATGCAAGAAAACAAGATCAGTTACATGACTTGCAGTGTATCTTTGGTAAAAGCAAACTATTAATATTGGCTTAGGAGAAATCTAGCTATTCTTGGTACCAAAGGGAAAGAGAAATTTCCAATGAATGCCTAGGAAAACAGCACATGTGACATAGTGGATAATATCTTAAGATGACTTCAGTAAATTAAATTAATAGATTTTAATGCCCCTTCAATGTCAGCTGATGCCCAGGTGTCAAAGCACAATTCAAAAAAGATGATTCTGTGAAGGAAGAAAGAAATGTAGTTTTAAATATTCAACTCTCTGAAGGTCTGCTTTAATATAAGGAGAAATTTCAAAGTGCCTAAGGTAGCACCTTCAGGATCTTTTACTGGGCCATGCAGGTTCATAGTTACGTGAAAGGTCCATTCCCAGTACTAATTGGATCATCACACTTTTTCTCTCCCCTTAAGATAATATATTTTATTAACGTATATTGCAAAAACAGCCACAAAGATAAAACAGCAAGTGTAGGAATATACTCTGCAGTTCTTCCCTTCAAGATGTGGAGTCTATTTTCTCACCCTTTCAGTTTGAGCTGGCCTTGTGGCTTGCTTTGACCAAATGCAAGAATGTGGCCTAAGTGACACTGTGAGTTTTGACCCTGGGTATCAAGAAGTCTTGAAATATCTGGTCTCTTGCTCTTGGAACCTGCTGCCACCAAGTAAATGAGTCTGAGCTAGCTGCTGGATGATGGGCGACCTGTGCACCAGTTTCCTCCTGTCACTCCAGCTGGCAACTAGCTAATCCCCAGAAGGAGAACTGCTTGGCTTACCAGCAGCTGACCACAGACAAAAGAAGGGGTCCAGAAAAAAAGCCACCCAGTTAAGCCCAGACCAAGTTGCCAGTCCACAGGGTCATAAGCAAAATAAAAGGCTGCTTTTTTTGGTGACAAAGTTTGGGGGTTGTTTGTTAGGCAACAAAAACTAGCAGATATACTTAAAAAAACTAGAGCAACTCAATTCACAATATTACCAACAAAAGATAAAACATTTAAAAACAAACGTAACAAAATATGTACAAAACCTGTATAAAGAAATTTTTAGATGCTCCTGATGGCTCCACACCCCCCAAACCCCCTATCAACACTCAGAAAATTACGCTTTTTCCTACAAATGGAAAAACATACCATTTTCTTGGATAGGAAAATCTGCTTTATGAGAATGTCAGTTCTCCCTAAGTTAATATTAAAAAATGATGCCTGTTCAGATTTCTTCTAGAACTAGAAAAATTGAATCTAATAGTTAATTTGAAAAAAATAAAGAAGAGTATTTGAAAAACAAACACAATTGGGGGCACTCACCCTAAGAGATATTAAAACCAATTATTAATACCCAATAAATTAAAACAGCATAGTATTATTACATGCATGGACAAATACACCAATGCAAAATAATAGAAAATCTAGAAATAGACCAAAAAACATTTGAGAATTTATTATATGATAAAGACCGTGTCACAAACCAATGGGGTGGGAGTATAAAGACAAGACTTTTTCATAAATGTTAGGACAACTGGATAATGATTTGGAAAAAGATAAAGCTGGATCTATACTACACTACATACACCTAGATAATTTTGAATGAAGCAAAGACTCAATGTTTAAAAGTTTATGCAATGTAAAAGTAAAACTATACAAATACGACCATGAACCGAACATATCGCGGTGTCAACTTAAACCTCTCCAGCTGAAGTTCTGCCTGCAGATATTAAGGAATTTTCCGAATTTCTCCATTCCCATATGGTAGACCCCAGCGCCAGCAAGATATTCTCAAAACCCCATCCCTGATTTGAATGAAATTTCTTCTTGTAAATTAAAAAATAACTGTCCTGGAGTATATCCAAGGATATGTGCTTTCATATCCAATGTGGAGTCGGTGAGCCTCATTTTCGAGACATGTAAGAGAGGCGACCGTAACTCTTGTCCTGCCTGTCCAGCAGCTTTGCAAACGGATATAAAAAATAAATTATTAAGGATGGCATCCCCTTGGCTGGAGTTGCCCTGCACTAACGATTCCCTGGTCTTCCCAGGTACGCAAGTCTTCAGCCCCATTCTTCCTTACCAGGGGGCAATCCACTCCTCCACTCCCGGCCTTCCAGCGGGGCGCCCAAGGATCCGCCTCCCTACCCTCCCGCATCCTGATAGGCCTGTGAGAGCCACGGCCCTATTGGTTGGGGGCGTGGCCCGCGTGGCGCTTCCTGGGAGGTGTAGTCCCGAGAGCCACTAGCTCACGCGACTCGCGGGTTTGACGTACGAGATTTCGCCCCAAGAGCGACCGTTGTGGTTTAGAAGTGGGTGTGTCTGGAGACGGAGTGGGGAGTGGCGAGGATTCAGGTGAAGAAACTGAAAGGTCCAAAATTAGAGACAGGAGGGTTGTGGGCTCGCAGAAAGGTACCGACCTACTTCGACTTGGGGCGCAGAAGTTGGGGGTGAGGGAGCTCAAGTTCCATGGCCAATCAGACATTAATAACTGTTGTCTTAGCAACCACTCGGGACACCTAAGGTCCCGTCCCCTCCCCATTCCAAGGAAAGGGGAGAAGCCCGGCTGTTTAAATGGCTTTGGAGTCGGGTGGGGAAAAGGCCGGCTCTGTTTTTCCCCACACGCGATAGTGACGCAGGACCAACCGCTCGGTGGGTGGAAAAGGCCGGCTTGCAGCAGGTGGTATCCTGGGCCGGCGCCCCATCTCCCCGCCGATTGGCTCACAGCCCTCAGGGGCGGGGCCTTGGGCAGACACCACGTCCCGCTGCGAGGCGAGGACCTCCGGGATTCCTAGAGAGAACTCGGAAGTGCTCTCGGGGGCGGGATTTATGGCTCAACCCTGTTGGACATGCTTATTTCCGGCGAGCAAATGTTGCCAAGTGTCGGCTTCGGTTTTTTCTATGTCAGTAAGAAGAAACCCATCTTTTGAACCTTGGCTGCGGAAGATTAGTGTTCTAGGAGCGCTCCCCGGGACTGGGGCCTGCAGAAAGGGAATGGGCTTTGTGTCCAAATGGGGGTCCTGTCTCTAACCTTGACCGGCCCGGTCCGTGTCTACGGGGTCCCGGGCTGTTCCGAGGAATCCAGGTCCTTATCTGTACTTAACAACCCTGCTTCTCTTCGGGTCCCATGAAATCTCCTGTCGGTCTGTCAAGCCCTTGTGGTTTGAAAGACAGGACCAGGTTCGTTATGTTTTTGCCCCGTGTTCTGACTTAGTTTGACTTAACGTAGAGAGAAGGAGCGGCTGCGCCTGGACTAGTTAGTAAGTCTTGTCCTATTATTTATATGAAATTTAGTGTTCACTAAAATTGTGTTTGGTTAGGCCTGATAGGAGATTTTTATTGCTCTCCTTTATTTTTTAAATGTTGGAAATATTATCTACTGGTAATCGTTTTGTGGGTGGGGGGACAATTGTCTTGTAATCCATATTTTTAAGTAAATATGTCTGTTGAGTGGTCATGTTTAGTATAGGTGACCTCTTTGTCATCTCTTTGCTAATAACGATGCCCATTATATCAGTAGGTTGCCACTAATGAAAGTGCCCTTCAGAAGATATTATAAAGAACAGAAACCAAATTTGATCAAATGTTACTCGGCTAACTTGGAGAACAGCCGTCCGAGTTGGAATGATAATGACAGAATCTGGGGAAGTTATAGACTTAGACCCTCCGGCTGACACTTCAGAAGAGCAAGAAGACCTTTTAATAGTGAAGGTGGAAGAAGAAGACTGCACCTGGATGCAGGAGTACAATCCACCAGTGTTTGAGACTTTTTACCAGCGCTTCAGGGACTTCCAGTACCGTGAGGCAGCAGGCCCTCGGGAGGCACTCAGCCAGCTCCGGGTGCTCTGCTGTGAGTGGCTGAGGCCTGAACTGCACACCAAGGAGCAGATCCTGGAGCTGCTGGTGCTGGAGCAGTTCCTGAGCATCTTGCCGGAAGAGTTCCAGACCTGGGTGAGGGAACATCACCCGGAAAGCGGAGAAGAGGCTGTGGCTGTGGTAGAAAATATACAGAGAGAGCTAGAAGAACGCAGACAACAGGTGAGTGGATGAGGAAACATAGAGCAGTGAGGAAGGAGAGGAAGAGAGTTAAGGAGCTGCTGAGCAGGGTGAGATATCCTTAGCACTTTGGTGCTTCATTCCTATTCTTTTGTTCTCCTGGGATTAGGTACACTGTGGAGATTTCCTGCCACTCCAGCAAAGGGAAGCAGTATCCAGTGTGTTAACTTGGAGAAGACAGTCTGCGATTTTATTTGTTTTTTATATTACTATATTCATTTTTTGAATGACAGGATACAAAATTCCAAAGGCATATAAGGTTGTAATGAAAAGTAAGTTCCCTTTTTCACCCCTTATTCTCAGGCTGCCTAGTGCTCCTCACCAGAGACAACCGCCAGTACATAGTATTTGTATTTTCTCACAGAGATACACTGCATTCTGTATGTATATGAATATGTGCATATGACATGCTTTAAGAAAACAGATGGTTTTAAATCACTGGGCACGTCTTCTCTTGTTTTTTTCTTATATCTAGGTTTGTTCTGTGTCTGCAAGTAGAGTTACCTCACTCTTTAAAACTGCTTTGTGTTCCATGGTTTGGACATTCCATAATTTCACTGCTATTGAAGCCCATTTACCTTGTTTCTTTAGATTGTTTCTGCATTTTACTATAACAAACATTACTGCAGTGAATATCCTTCACATACAGCATTAATTGTAGAATGAATGCTTAGAAGTCAGATTGTTGGCTCAGAGGCCATATGCATTTGTAATTTTGACAGCTGTTCACAGATGGCCATCCATAGATGTTATACCAATTTATATTCCCAGCAGCAATGTATGAGAGAGCTTTTTTGTCCATAGCATGACTTGGTATTATTCAGTATTTGGTATTATGCTAGTTGGAAAGATGCATTACGCTACTCCATTTCTGTGTAGTTGCAATATGCATTTCTCTCATGAGTGAGTTTGACTACAGTACATATTTTAAAGGGCTATGTATATACCCTTTGTGAATTATCTGGTTACATTCTTTACCTGTTAGAAAAGATAAGCACTGTATCTGTTATTTTTTCACTTTGTTGTCTGTCTTTGTTTTTTTGCTTTGCAGAGTTTTCTTGTTTTAATGTAATCAGTTTAAATCTTCTAATTCATGTTTTCTGGGTTTTGTGCCATACTTAGAAGGGCCTTCTCCACTATAGTATTATAAGAAACTTTTCTCATAGTTTATTCTTTTTTTAAAATAAAAATTTTAAATTACACTTTTAAATGATTGATCCACTTGGTGTAGAGTGTTTGGTATGGTCACAACTTAATTTTTTTCCGTAAGTCTACCCAGTTGCCCCAGCAACTTGTATAGTAATCCCTTTTTTCTATCTCTAACTAAAATGCTGCCTTTATTATATACCAAATTTCTGCACATATTCAATCCTTTTATTCTATTTTGTTGATCTTACTGTTTATGAGTACAGTATTTAATTATTTGAGCTCTGTAAAGCATTTTCACTTTTGATAGGGCTACCCTTCCACCTTCCAAATTCCAAATTCCTTTTCAATATTTTCTTTTTTCCTTATGAACTCTGTAATTACTTGTTTAGTTTCCACAACTCCAAAAATTCTGCTGTATTTTTGTTGGTATTGCATTAAATCATACATTATGGAAAATCAATAACTTTAGGTTATGTCTTGTCCTTTTTTACTCACTCTTCTTGTTGCTAGGCTCACAGTCTTCTTAAACTTTAATTTTTTATTATAACAAAGAAACAAAAAACAAAGAACCTTAGGTCTACAAGAATTTGAAGCTAGTCAGAGAATTTCCTTTGTTCTTTAGAGCCCTTGGACTTCAGTGTGTGACACCAGTCTCATAATTCTTCACCTGCGGGTCAGGGGTTCTTCAACATTCCAGAACTTCCTTGGGCTCTTCATCTGGTTTAGCTGCCTCCATGAGGCAAGTGGGCAGCAGAGGGAATTTCTACTGACTGGTGGCCAGACCCTGCAGCTGGACAGAATGATCGTCCTGCAGAGGGGAATGTTTGGACCCGTATTGTTTCTGTCAGGACAGAAAACAAAGTTTCATGGTGACATATAGTCATTCCTTTTTTAAACCTAATGTGGGACATTAATGGGCAGACTTTTAATATTTTATAGTAATAAACATTCAAAAGCAGACTTTAAAACAAAGCATTTGTAAAAAAGAGGTTTATAGCAGATAATACATATTTACCTTTCTTTTTGTAACATGCAGCTCATCTTTGGAAGGGACACAGAAAAATCACTTCATAGTGGTAGTCAGGGATTTGAAACCCCATCGAGGGGATTTTTCCAAGGGCTCCACAGCTCAGTCTGTTCGCCTTTCTCTCTGCCTTCTGTATCCCTGACCTTATTCCTTACTTTATCTCCAAGGGAGTTCCTGTCTCCAGTGAGCCTTTTCCCAGGTTTTATCCTTTGCCCTCTTCTTGGTTTCTCTGCCCTAGTCTCAGGACCTCAAGGGCAGCTTTGTTTCTTTGGTGTCCAGGTGCCCTTTGACATACTCGGCATCATCTAATGCTTGGTCTGAGTAGATCCACAAGGACACACAAACTTCCACACAGAGTGATGTTTTCCGTGACTGTTTTGCAGCTGCCTCTTGAAGTAATTCCTATACCACATTTACCAGTACTAGGAAGGTTAAAATTTAAAGTGCTTTGAAACATGAGGGGGCGGGGGACTGGCATCTCTTCCTCTATGCAGGATCTATGCAGGATCTTACTACCTGCTAGGAGGCCACTGAGCTGCTTCCTTCCAGAAAAGGCAGATTCTAGAGACTGGCTGTGGCAGAATAATTCTGTGTATCCTAAGGTTTGAGCAACAGCCAAGAATAGAAAGGTGGAGGACTGTAGCATGCCAGACATGAGCTAGCTCTGGTCTTGGTGTTGGGTCTCCTACCTGAACCTGGTATGCTAGAGAACCAAGTGTGGCTTCCTGACTCTGGACCTTTCCAACCTTCCTTCTGACCTCTGTCCCCATTTACTAAACGCGACCCACACTGGCTTGCTTATAGTTCCTTGACTACCAAACACCTGCTTTCTGCCTGAGGGTCTTTGCTTATGTTGTTCTCTGTACCCGAGATACTTCTCACTTTTCTCCTGGCTGGCTTCTTTCATCCCTTAGGTGTTTACTTAAGCAACAGTTCCTCAGAAAGGCCCTCCTCAGCCACCCAGTCTAAAGCACGTCTCTTGTTCTGTTTCATGACACCACTTTTATTCTCCTAACGTGTAATGCAGTTTGTAATTATGTACTTACTTATGTGTTGATATGTTTAATGGGCATAGTCCAGCTAGATGTATGCAGTGTTTATTAAGCTACTGTAGAATCAGGACCTGGATCACTGTAGACACATTAAATATTTGGCAAGGAATGAATGAAAGAACAATGTGAATTTACTGGATTCTTTCATTGCCCTCTCTGTAATGTGCTGATTGGTGTGGTTGTGGTTGTTAGATCGTGGTGTGTCCTGAAGTGCTTCCTCAGAAGATGGTGCCACCTGGAACTGTGCAAGAGTCCTTCGGTCACCAGCTCCTGCCTGTGGATCCCCAGCCTGAACAAGAGCCACAGAAGCCTCATCTTCTCGAGGAAAATGGTGAGGATCTGTGACTCAGTGGAACAGATGTGGCTTGTGGGAAAGTGGCATCTGTGAGAGCGAGACCTCAGCTGGGCAACCTCTGTGAAGTCAGCAGGATCTGGAGCTTGGGAAGGGTTGGGGACCCAGAAATGAGTCCCCGGAGAGGTCAGCTGTAGGGTGGCTGGAACTACTGCAGATGATGACAAAGTGTAGGTGCTGTCAGAATATCTACAGGAGTCTTTTACTCAAGCATCGTAATTGTTCTGTAGTAGTTCTCCAACTCTTCCTCATAGGTTTTACTGTCTTAATGCTTATGTAAAAAAAGCTCTCCAGTCCTTCATGACTAGAGCATTTGTTCTCTCCTTGTTAACCTGTGTTAGATATATCAAGGAAGAAAAATGAACGTCTGAGTATCTTATTTATGATGACATGTGTCCATAAGTCTGCAATCCCTAATCAGAAGGTTTTGCTGTCAGATTTTAGAATTTACAAGTTTTCAGATTTATTAAGGAAATGTGACTTATATACTGTATATTACAATACCAACAGGATTTGAGGTGGTATCCCAAAATTACACATCTTAATATTGCAGCAATGAAATGTATACATATTTACAGTAAGTGGATGAAATAAAAACTTTAAATAGCTTCTTCTCAGTTCTGGTCAGGTTTTACTGTCAGATTAATGTGTTTGGTGATAAGATAACTTAGTGAAAATAGGCCTTTTGCATTTCAGAATCCGGATAAAGAATTTCGAACCCGTATTTCCTGCTTGGCCCCAGGCTTTCTCCTGGAGTCCCCTTAGTGCTCAGGTCTTCCACTTGACATGCCGAGGCTCTGCCCTAGCTTTCCTTTCGCTGTGATCATAAAAGTATTTATAACGGGTCAGGAACTGTTCAGAGTGCTTCACCTGTGTGAGCCCTCAGGGTACTGGGAAAAGTAGTCTTCACTGTTCACCAGCTGGGGCCAGTGGATCCTTTTTGTTCTCTCAAGTATTTTTAAGTCATTTTATGAGTAATTTACAGAAACACCAAAGGTTAATGAAAAACAATTTTGAAAGAAAATTTAATAAGAATTAAACCTCTTAGTATCAAGTACATTTTGATAATACAAACATCATAAAAAATGAAAGAAAACTATTACACAGTATTGTCCCTTTAGCATAATGAGTGCCATTCTTTTAGCCAAATGGGATGGCCCAGAATCAAGTTGGAAATACTGTGTGATAAAGTCCTCCCTGTGGAATGACTCACTGGATGAGAATGTTGTATTTCCTTTTCGAAATGAGAAATAGAGTGGTTATCACTGATTTGTTTGAGAAGGTTCATCTGGAACAGCCCCCTGTGTGGACTCATCCTAAGATCTCCTTTACCCTTTCAGTTTCTTCATTTTCCTTAGAGCTCACTGCTCTCTGTGTTTCCTTGTTCACCTAAGAACAGCAAAACATCTTCCACTGCAGATTTTCATTCCTGTCAATATGGGTGGAAAATGAAAAATTCCAAATTCTCAACTGTGTTCAGTGAAAGCTAAAAGTAGATGTTGACAGTCTTATTTCCTCTTGAAGATGAAGCAGAACCCTGGGCAATGCATTCAATTTCAATACCTTGAGAATAGTAAAGAATAATGGTTTATTTCATGGTTGTATGGTCCTAAATATTTACTTCATTTTCCCATTTTCTTATTATTTCAGTCTTTTTTGTTATTGTTGGGAGTAATGAATGACTAGTGATTAGTAAAAATGAAATAATTCTGAGGGTGGTAAAGTGGAAACAATGTTCATGATCTAGGAAAAATAAGATCACTCAGATCCCAAAATGTATCCTAGATTTGTACAAGGGTTCAATGGATCCATGTAGAAATTACAAGATAGAATGAGTTTTGGTCTATTTCTTAACAATACTAAAATAAATTTTCTTTTTGTTCTGCAGAAGAACTGTAGAAGAATGAATAAAAATATGTAATAAAAGAAATAAAGCTCGTGTAATTCCAGTCTTTAAAAATAGTTTAAACTGTTTAAAAAAACTCCAAATAAGTAAAGCCTAAAATTGTGTCTAATAGACTTAGTTGGAATACTGAGGGTTAATGTTCACACTAACCCAATGAAAGAGGTATTCTAGTTATCCTCATCTTCTGAGGCCTAGAAAGGGGAAGTGATTTGTTCAAGGTCATGAAGCTGTTTGGTGAAAGAGCTGAGATTTTGACCCAAGCAGCCCACTCTAAATCTACACTTTTACCCCATTCCGGGCCCTCTTGACTTTGCTTTACCACCACGCTCTCCAAGTGCAGAATCCTGTCCTTAAATCACCCTCTTCTTCCCACTGACTTGCAGAGTCTCCCATGAGCACGCTCTTCTGTTCATGTGTTCCTGGTGCTGCTTCTCTTCTCTGTCCTGTTAGCTAGACCCCAGCCAGTTTCTTCATTCCAACAGAATGACTGGGTTTTTGTTTTTGTTTTATCTTGGTTTTGTTTTTGTTTTACACACTGCTTTTCTCCAGCCTTTGGTAGCACTGAGGGATGGTTTTCTGTCTCAGGGACTAATTTGAGCTTCAGAGGGGCAAAGTCATTTACTTAAAGCCTAAAGAAACAATGGGTTTCATGGGCACCTCAAAAATAAGTGAATTATTTGGGATGTAATTATTAGAATTACTCTAATCATAATCGGAGTATAGTCTATACTGTAATTAGTGTTTGGGTATAGACTACATTCACCCCTTTCTTCAAGCCCCTCTCTTCAAGCCCTTGACTCTTAGTTATACTCCTGGTTTCAAATCTGTCTTCTGTTTTTGGCTTTCATCTCCAACCATTATCTCCTTTTTGTGTTGTTGCTCAGTACTTCCTAGTCCTTGGATGCAAACAAGCTGCATATGCACGTAACATCTCCAGGACTGGGGAAACTATAGCCAGGTCTAATCCTTTGGATTGAAGGTTAGTACCAGGTCTGGGCACACATAGACAGTGGGATCCAGATGCACCATGAATCTTGGACAAAGAACAGCAAAGGTTGCAGCAGAGGGTTAGATGGTCACCAGCATCTAGAAATCAGGCCCTCTGGGTATTGCACATATAACTCACTCTGCTTTGAAGCACCCTCATCCCTGCCCCACCCCACTCCTACATCCCAGAGCTACCTCCTAGGAAAGGCTTTCCCGATGCTCCTGCCCCCACTCTCCACTCTGTAGGTGCCCCTGCCTCTGTGTTCCCATGGGAACTTGGGTAAACCTCAAGTATAGTACTCTTTATCCTGAGCTGGAAGGAAGTAAGGCTTGCATGGCTGCCCCAGCCATTAGATAGTGAATTTCTGGAAAGCTAGCACTGTTTTATCTGCCTATTCTTACAACACTCAGAGTGCACTTAATACATACTCGTTGGCTGACTATAAACCAACCATAGTGACTCCCTGAAGGGAGAGAATGTGGACTAAGGCCTTGCTAATCAAAGTGTGGTCCAGGGAACAGCATCACCTCAGAGCTTCTTAGAAATGCAAAATATGGGGGCCATCCCAGGACTGCTGAGCCTGATCTGCCCTCTACCAAGACCAAAGCCCGGGCTTTGGGAAGTGCTGATTCAGCCTCATGGAAGTTGGGAGAGGTGTGGTTCTCTGAGATGACTAGATTTGATCGTGGCAGAGCAGGGTGCATCCTGTACAGGGGAATGGCACAGTCTGAGGTTGGCAGCAGGGATTAGCTTGACCAAAGTAAGGAGTCTAGTTTGGGGGGAAGGGTGAGTCTAGGGTAGGTGTGGGGGAGGCCAGAAGGTAGAGGGTCTTGGGAGCCAAGCATTAGAATTTGGCCTTGATGCAGCAGGACACCATTTTGAACTGTTGAGCAAAAGCAGAATATGATGGCAGTGGAAACTGGGCACTGATGCCTCTTTTTCTCCCCCTCAGCCCTCCCTACTCTCCAAGTTCCTTCTCTTCCATTGAAGGATAGCCAGGAGCTGACAGCCTCCCTTCTCTCAGCTGGGTCCCAGGTGAGCTGGCATCCCTGTGCCCACAGTGAGGACCCCTGTCTGTTCTGGGACAAGTAACCACCTTAACCTTGAGTCTTTATCAGGAGGTCCGTCTCTTTAAGTGAAATCTGGGCCCATTGTGGGTTGTATTTACCTGTCTTGGGTTCTACCCAGTACTCCCTTGTCCATTTTGAGGCAGAGTCCCTCCCACTATATGTTTCCCTAATGCTTTCAGTTCTTCCCCTCCAAATATGAACACAAGGAGTGGGAATTTAGTGGAGATCTCATTTCAGAAGTTGATGAAAATTGAAGATGTGGCTGATGTGGCTGTATCCTTCATCCTGGAGGAATGGGAACATTTGGACCAGCCCCAGAAGTCCCTCTATAGGGATGACAGAAAGGAGAATTATGGGAGTATTACCTCCATGGGTAAGAATTATTTCATCTGCATGGATTAGCACATCTTAATTTCTTTATTTTATAAAGAATATTTCTAGCACATTCTGTAAAAAGCATGTGTTTTAATTGCTGTGACTTACCGTTTTTTCTTCTCTTCTCCCCCCCACCCCCTTTTCAGCTTGTTCTGATTATTTCCTTCATAATAAGGGTATAATTGAAGACTGATAATTTTTCGGGGGTAGTATTTACCATCCAGCAAATGTTATCTCTTTAAAATAAAAGAGCTTAAAATCAAAGGGTTTGGATTCTAGCAAGTTTGTAGTAGTTAGTGTACCTTCTTCCTTGACAAATTAAATACCTGTTAACTGAATAATTCTCATTTGTAAAACCTTCTCAGACATAGCTGAATAACTGCTTTTTATAGTTGTTACTACAACATCTCCATAGCGTGCATTTTTTCCTCCTCTTCTGATGCGTGGCCAGTTGTTCATTACTATTCTCAGATCATTGTTACCTATTTTATGATGTTCCCCTTGGCATCTACATTTTACATACCATATCCTTTCTTGAATTTTGTGCCCCAAGTGAGATTTTGAACATATTTGTAACTAAGGAAATGATTGTGGAAACTAATATTTGGTTGTGTTGCTTGGAGCAATTATAAAAATCTTAGCATATTGGAAACATTTTGAAGCTTACCTTTTTAGTTTCTTTTGAATGGATTCTTCTAGAAGAACCACTGTATATCAAGCATACTAATAGAGTTTATAGGATATACATATATAATGCCAAATTCCTTTTGAAAAGCATTATACCAGTTTACTTATCTAAGGGTTTTAGTTCACACACAGGCTTTTATTTAAAAAGTAAAATTGACTCCTACTCTTTAAACTTTTCCATTTCTTTTGTTACTATTGATACAGATTTATATTTCCTTTTCTTTGATTTATTTGTACATGCCCTCTCTGCTTGTTTATCCACTGGGATCTTAGTGGTGGTCTTTCAGCCAAGGAATTATTTTTATAGTATAAACATTATCTTGTTTAATGCTAATTTTTTCATTCTCATCCTTTTAACTTAATTTCAAATTAATTTCTCACTTGTCTTATTTGAGTCTTTAGAAATGTTTTATCTTTTTCAATGACTTTATAAGCATTTAATGGGTTTCAGAGTTTCAGAACTTGACCCAGTTCTTTTCTATGCCATTCTTCAAGCAGTTTTAAATTCATACTTTGATTTTTTTTTCTCATTACCCAGCTCTTCATTATAACATCTTTACAACTTCAGTGTACTTTTCTATTTCAGTGGTTTCTACCTCCTTAACTTCTCTGAGAAGACCACATTAGGTTATTTTCATGTCTGTGGGTTCCTAACAGCATCAGAAAAGGTCAAGATTTTTAAAGTATCTATAGATTTAAAAAAATTCATAAATGAACATTGGAGACCACCATTTCAGTGGAGTAGCTGGAATGTTGGGGAAATAGAGACAGTTTCTTTGAACATTGCAAAGGGGAGGAATAGGAGGAAGCTTTTGTAGGTAAACATTCAAGAATATTGTCTGGGAAGGGGAAGAGATGGAGGGCTGAGCACTGAAAGAGCACATGGTTTAGGTGTGATGAGTCTTCTGTGTTCTCTCTTTTAGTGGAAGAAGTTTTTTTTTTTTTAATTTATTAAGGTATTATTGATACACACTTATGAAGGTTTCACATGAAAAAACAATGTGGTTACTACATTTACCCATATTATTAAGTCCCCACCCATACCCCAATGCAGTCACTGTGCATCAGTGCAGCAAGATGAGGTCAAGAAGTTTTAAGCATACTTATATGCTGCTGGAACTAGTAGATAGGGCATTTTAAATGTTGGAACAAGAAAGAACAGATAGTTGATGTAGGGAGGTCCCTGGAAAATAGGATGGTGTAGTGAGCTCCAGGGTCCAGGAGGAAGGATTGACCTGGGCTAGGAAGAGAGACAGCTCTGCCATTGTGAGACGGGAGGGGATGAAGGCCGAAGGCTGCAGCAGGTGTGCTGTTGTGGCTGTAGGATATTCAAGGACTTCTTGACTGGATAATAGTTTTGACATTCCCTGAAATAGGAGACAAAGTCACCTGTTCAGAGTGAGTAGGTGTGGTGTAGAAATTTGAATGCAGTGGAGAATTTTGGTTTTAGAAGGGTCATTCATACATATAGTAAAAAGTATTCAAATAATGTAAATGGGTATAAAGTGAAAAGCGAGTCACCTCCTGTATTCCTTGGTGTCCTGGTCTCCCTCTCAGGAGAAATGACTGCTACCAGTTTCTTGACTGTATCTCTGTATTTACAAGTCTGTGCAAAAGCGATAGCACATCATACACACTGATCTGCTTTTAAATACAGTGATATACATTGGAGATCATGGTGGAGGCATTTTGATGTAGCCACAGACAAAAATGAATGGGGAAAGGGGCTAACCTTAGAAACAGAATACCAGACAGGCTCCAGTGAGGTTTTTCTCTTTCATTCACATCTCCTTATGCTCGCATGTTTTGTTCTTGTTAGAATTCCCTCCCAATTAATAAGTTGAACAAGCTCATGGCTTTCTTTTTCCGGGGGTGAATTTGAAAATAATCAGATCAGCCCAGATAACCTCTTTGGGGCTCTTAACAACCGTTCTTTTCCAGAGAAGGCACTTGTGCAAGGTGTTATGCCAGCTGGCTTACAGATTTGCTTTTTCCCTCTTTTCCTGTCCATTCTCCATGAACATGACAAGCTCACTCTTGATCCTCCTGGTTTCTTTGTATGTTTGACAGAACTGTGCTCCTTGCTCAATGCTATGCCCAGCTGCTGGGTAATGCATTGCCTGTTTTTTGTTAACTACTGAAGACTTCTCTGCAAACCATATTAAATGTCAGGTTTGGAGTAAAATATGTGTTGCTGTTCCAGTTACAGAGGGAACCACTTTCAGTCTCCTACACATCTATATTCATCAGTGATTATTGAGTGTTAAACTAACTCTTGACAGTAGTAGGTTTTTCTCTGGGTATAGAAAGAATGCTCTTTTCTCATTTGACCAATTCATACCTAACTGAGATTCTTTGCGGACTGAAAAAGCTAGAAAGATCATCTGTCTTCTCCAAGCTATGAATAAACAGTAAGAGGAAGGTGAAGACTGGGTTAGCTGCATAACCCAATATCAAATTTTATTAAGAATATTTAATATTGCACAGGTATTCACAGTTACTGTTTGTAAGTACCATACCAAAAGGATATCACCTTCATTAAGGAGAGCGACTGCTCTCCCAGTTTCATCCCTTTGAACCATTCTTGCCAGCTTTTCCTTCCCTAATCTCTCCCAACTTCCTGCTTAAAAATTCTTTATCCCATCCCTGTATTTTTGCAAATGACTTTACAAAGTTGTGCATTGCTAGCACATGCTGGTTTAATTACTCTATATCCCTGTTACTGTCTCTCTTCTAATGCAGGGACTAGCTCATTTTCTTCCTATTATTTCAGATTATGAGCCCAGGGATGACAATATGGACCTCATAGTAAAGCAGATTTCCGATGAAGCTGAACCCCACTGGATGACATCAGGAAGTGCTGAAAGAAATGTTCCCCAGAGTCAAGAGTTTGGAAAAGGTGGTGACCTCCACAGCATGGCAGAAAGGTGGCAGGTAAACCCCACTGTGGGGAAGTCAAGGCAGAGCCCTGCCCTGAAAAGAGACCCAGGTGCCATCAGAGATGTGAATCGGAAGCAGAACACAAATGGTGAGAGAGGTCACAAATGTAATGATTGTGGTAAAATTTTCCTTCAAGCCTCAAACTTCATTCAGCACCGACGAATCCACACTGGAGAAAAACCATTTAAGTGTGGCGAGTGTGGGAAAAGCTATAACCAGCGCGTGCACCTAACTCAGCACCAGCGAGTGCACACCGGCGAGAAGCCCTATAAGTGTCAGGTGTGTGGGAAGGCCTTCCGTGTGAGCTCCCACCTGGTCCAGCACCACAGCGTGCACAGCGGGGAGAGGCCCTACGGGTGTACCGAGTGTGGGAAGAGCTTTGGGCGGCACTCCCATCTGATTGAGCACCTGAAGCGCCACTTCCGAGAGAAATCCCAAAGATGTACGTGTCGGGTTTGTAATTGGAGAATAATTGGACACAAAAATGTTTCACAGGCTTAGAACCACAGACAGCTAGATGGGCTGGGAGCAGTAGGAAGGGGCAAAGATTACAGTCTGTTTTATTATTTGTACTTTAGTTGTCAAATGAGCAGGCAAAACCCAATGCCCTCTCCACCATCCCCACAACTTACCTTTCCCCAGAGGTGCCTGCTTTCAGCCCTCTTACCTGTTTCTTTGGGTAATTCTATATTTTAAAATAATACTGCTGTTGCTTGACTCACCAATTTTTGACATTATCTGTTGCTTTTCTGTTGTAGTGAGGATTTTGGCGCTCTTAAATGCTTCTTTCCCTCTTCCCAATTCAGCAGTTTCACTGATTTTATTTTAAAGTGATAAAACAGTAATAGTATAAGAAGTTTGGAAGAAAGAAAGTGGAAGAAAAAAAATAACCCATAATCTTACCATTCTAACTAATAGAGCTATTATTGTTCAGTGTCTTTCCATCTTTTTTGCCATAAACCTATTTTTATATAGGTGTGCTCATAGGGTACAGTTCAGTATTAGACCTACCCATTTCTGGTGTTTCTTGCCCTGCTATTTGTTATTTTTTAGAGCCCATCACTGTGTGGAGACATCAGAATTTACTCAGCTGTTCCTCAGTTGAACTTATAATTTTTCTCTTTGGTCCTCATAATTGTGCCTATGCCTCTTTTTTATATTTAGGATCACTTCCTTATAATAGATGCCCCAGAAATGGGATCAATGGATGACAGGCCAAAGACATTTTTATGGCTTTTGCTATGTATTGCCACATTGCTTTTTAAAACAGTCATACCATCTATGAGAGCATCAGCTTTACTAAATTTCTTCCAGGGTTGTTACAAAATTTTTAACAAATCAAGTAAGGAGAAGAGAATTCTTTGCTGTATCCATTTTCATTAATTTGGTTGTAAGATTGAGCAGTTTTCCCATTTATTTTTTCTTATCTGTTCAAGTGATATTAAGCTTATACAACAATGTGATCACCGTAAACTGCTGTGAACTTAAAGGCTCTTATTGATATTCTTCTGATTAGAACTGGCCAAAATGTTTATTTTTAATTATGCCTTTGATGTGCCCAAGACCAACCACTTGTCACTCGCAGCAACTATCACTGCCCACTGTCCCCTCTTCCATCACAGAATAGACATTTATGAAGTACACGGCATCTTTGAAATTCTGGGTTCAACTGAGCTGTATTCCTCAGCCAGTCTCCTCCATTTCTGCTTTGTGGTGGCTTCACAAGAGAAATCCATCTATCAGAAATCCAACTCTGGAAAGCAGTTGCTTTAAAATAGTGTCTTTTCTGTCTTCCCTGCAGTTGTTTTTATGACTGTTTCCCTGGTTAACACTCACTCACCAACCCCCATTTTTGTTGACCAAAGGATACATTGTCTGCCCTCCAGCCGTATTTATTGAGTGCCTCTGGTGCTGGGTTCTTGGGATCTGGCCATAAAAAGAACATATACAGTTCTGCCCGCATGGGCTGATGGTCTGTGGGAATGGTAGATATTAAAGGTGGAGGCTATCCCCAAAGGAGAAGTATTGGGTGCTGTGGAAGGGAAACAAGCTTGAATGTCTGCTAAGGACAAAGAGAGCAGAGATTGATCAGTCGCCTACCCTCTTGACAATATCTTTCACTGCCTCACTTCTCTTTTTTCCCCAGCTCTTAATAATCAGGTAGTCTTCTGACTCCATATCCTCTTCATAATCCTTTACTTCCCATCCTCCACTTTCTGTCTGTTCTCACCATCTAGCTCTGTGTACTTTTGTCTCCTCCTATCTCCTCCTGACTGCTTAACTCATGTTGTGGTAGTGGTCCCACCGACATTTCCCACCTCCTCTACATATCTGAGTTCCTCTCCTCCCTTTGAAATCAAGTGTTGTACTAGCACTATGACTGCCCACCCTCAGCCCTCTGCACCTCTTCTAAGGAAGTCTTTTGTCTGTCTGGTGCCTCTTCTGTCTTGTTGGCATCGAGTGCATGCAAGTGTCCGCCTTTGTTACTTTAGCACTGTATGTCATCATTTCATCTGATTATCTTCTTTTTCCTGACAGTTTATTTTAATTCTGTTAAAGAATTGATGACATCTGTGTTTCCTCTTTACTTTTTCAGGCAGTGACAAAAGAAGTAAGAATACAAAATTGAATGTTAAGAAGAAAATTCCAGAGTTTTCAGAAGCAGACATGGAACTATCAGGAAGAATCCAAAGAAATGTTTCTCAAGTTCAGGATTTTGGAGAAGGTCCTCAACACCAAGGCATGTTGGACAGGAAGCAGGGAGTTCCCATGAAAGAGATACTCGGACAACCCTCTTCCAAGAGGATCAGTTTTAACGAAGTCACCTGTGTCCACAAAAAATCCTCCACAGGAGAGAGACCACATAAATGTAATGAGTGTGGGAAAAGCTTTATTCAGAGTGCACATCTCATTCAACATCAGCGAATACACACTGGGGAGAAGCCGTTTAGGTGTGAGGAATGTGGGAAAAGCTATAATCAACGTGTTCACTTAACTCAGCATCAGCGAGTCCACACTGGCGAGAAACCCTATACCTGTCATTTATGTGGGAAAGCGTTTAGAGTGAGGTCCCATCTGGTTCAACATCAGAGTGTGCACAGTGGAGAAAGGCCCTTCAAGTGTAATGAGTGTGGGAAAGGCTTTGGGAGGCGGTCACACCTTGCTGGGCATCTGAGACTCCACTCTAGAGAGAAATCACATCAGTGCCATGAGTGTGGAGAAATCTTTTTTCAGTATGTCAGCCTCATTGAGCACCAGGTGCTCCACGTGGGTCAGAAAAATGACAAAAATGGAATTTGTGAGGAAGCATATAGTTGGAACTTAACAGTGATTGAAGATAAGAAGATTGAGCTACAAGAGCAGCCTTATAAGTGTGATATATGTGGCAAAGCCTTTAGTTTCAGTTCTGACCTTACTCAGCATTATAGAACTCATACAGCAGAGAAGACGCATAAGTGTGATACCTGTAGAGAAAATGTTGGCCAGTGTTCCCACATTAAACAGCATCAGAAAGCCTATTCCAACGTGAAGTCCCATCAGTGTAATGAATGTGGCAGAGGCTTCACTCTGAAGTCACATCTTAGTCAACATCAGAGAATCCACACTGGTGAGAAACCCTATCAGTGTAAAGAATGTGGCATGAGTTTCACTTGGAGTTGTAGCCTCTTTAAACATCTGAGGAGTCATGAGAGGACAGATCCCATAAACACCTTGAGTGTATAGATGTTTCCATTGAGGAACAGCTCCTACTCAGTTTTAGAGAAGCCTCCCTGGAGAGAAACCCTACTCCTACAATGAATATGATAACAATGGTAAGCATTTTCTCCAACTTAACCATCAACTCTACAGATGCACCAAACTCTTATCAGTTAGAACTTAGGAACACTGGAGAATCCACAATAAATACTCATTTGCTTTTTCCCACTGTTGTTGGCACCTTCACAATTGGGAAGCCAGATGAGAGTGAACCTAGGATATGGGGGATGAAGGAAAAGTCTTCAGGTGGTACTCTTCATTTGAATCTCAACATTGATGCTGGGAAAGCCTTGTGAATACAGTAGAAATAAACTTTATTTGTAGTTTCTGTCTTGTTTGACAGCTTATCTATTCAGGGAAGAACACAGTGAAAGAAAAAACTTCAGCATGATACCTGTTTTGGTACCTCAGCAATGAACCTTTTCTAGAAATGATTATCCCAGCCACTAGAATGCTCCAGTCATTGTGCTATCTTGAGTATTAAACACTTTGAAAAGAAATTGACTTAAGGAATGTATATTTGGGCAAAATTGGGGTTCAGAGGCTGGATGGTATGTGTTCCTGCAGCCTTATTCAGTCTACAGCTTCTCTGTGAAATGGATTCTGCCTATTGTTTTGCTTCTACTAGCATCATGGGTAGCTGAGAGAAACAGGAGTTAAATCTGTAAGTTCAGGAGAAACTGTTGGTCAGTCACATCTGAAGGAGAAAGAAAGGGACCTTCGGGGAATAGAAAAGAGAAGTCAGACCAAACTGGGCTGGTGCCTGTTCTCTTAGCACAAAAATGAGGGCAGCCATGCCCATGGAAGGAACTGGGTCAGGTTGAATTAAGAATCTGGATTCAAGCAGTATTTGTCCCAGCTCCCGGTTGCCGTGGAGACAGACCTCCTCCACCGGATAGTTGCATGTAGAATAGTATCAGTTTGAGTTGCAGTTGGATTTGAAAGTGAACTGTAAACAGGAGCAGAAAGGTATATGGTCTGGGTAGCCCTGCCTTGTGGGAAGGTCTGGGTAGGAGTTTGTGGAGGAAAGATGACAAGACTGAGTAGAGGGTTAAATTGAGCTGTTTGCTGGAGAGGGAGAGTGTGCTTCCGGCACTGCTAAAGTCCTGCTTCTGCTGACTGCCCAACTTACAAATAAATGCCCATTAAGTACTTGTTGACTGTATGTATGTCTTTTATAGTGGTGCCCTGCCTAGATCCCCTTTACCAAGCTGGCACATTCATCCCTCAGCTGCTCTGAGTTCTGGCTGAGAAGTACAGCTCTGCCCCCTCCCTAGAAACTCTGGGGAATTGTCCTCTGGTGATGTGAGCTGCCTCAGCCAGGAGTTATCTGCCCAGTCCACCCCTGCAGCCATTGACTAATACGGGGGTACAAAAGGCTGATGCCTCAATGGGGGAGAGAAACTGGTGCAAATTCTGCTCCAGAATCATCCCTTTGTGGATCAGGCCAAGGCTAGACTTTTCTGAGACTACATCCATGCTCAGCCCTTGCCTTTCTCTATCCTGTTTCATTCCTTCCTGTCATTTTTCCTGAAGAGCACACCCTCAACAAGTCACATGGTCCTGAATCCTTGTCTCAGGCTCTGCTTTAGGGAGCCTGATCGAAGACATTTGGTTTCATGAGTGGCCCTGGGATGCTGACTGTAAGAATAGATTGTGGAGTTGGTTGCTCACCATGCAGCAGTAAGGACCCTGTCCTGATGGGCAGAGTGTTGGTAGTCCCAGTTATGTATGTGGTGGCTGTCCAGTTGTGAGACACTCACTGTGGTAAACTGGGATGGGATACAGGTGCAGAGGGATGTACTGATTTGTGTGAGTTTGAAGGGGGGGGTATGAAATAAATACCAAGATTATGGAATTGGGTGGTTCTTATTGAAAGCAAATGATTGTTTGAAGAGAGAAATGACACACTCAGGACAGATAACAACTTATTTCAAAGTGTGAGTGTCTGAGGGCCTCTTTGGTAGCATTTAAGCAGACTTGTTTCCTGCAAACAATCACAGAGTTAAAGGTTAAGTGTAGGCCTTAACTGAGAGTGACAACTTCAGTAAAGCCTGGTGTTAATGTTTATTGAGCACTGACTATGTTCTAAACATTACGGTAAGTGCTTTATGTAGGTCATCATACTTAATCTTCACAACATTATGAGGTGGTTTCATTTAGCACCATCATTTTATAGTTGGGAAAAACTGTGGTTCAGAACAATTAATTCACTTGCCCAAAGTCACAGAGCCAATATATGGCAGAACTAGCATTTGAACCCAGACCACTCTGCTTTCCCAAAGCTAAGTTCTTAAGCAATAAACTATACCATGTCTTATGCACATGATACCCAATGTACCGTCATTAAACTTAATTGATTTTTTTGACTTTATGATTTTGTGAAAGCAATATGCATTTGGTAGAAACTACTTTGAATTTTGAATTTCCGTTTTTTCCTGGGTGAGTGATACTTGGTGAGATTCTTCCTCATGATGCTGGGCAGTGGCAGTGAGCCACGGGATCACGAGGGTAAGCAAGCAATACACTGACAATCATTCTTTCCCATACAACCAGAGTGTTGGTAGTCCCAGTTATGTATGTGGTGGCTGTCCAGTTGTGAGACACTCACTGTGGTAAACTGGGATGGGATACAGGTGCAGAGGGATGTACTGATTTGTGTGAGTTTGAAGGGGGGGGTATGAAATAAATACCAAGATTATGGAATTGGGTGGTTCTTATTGAAAGCAAATGATTGTTTGAAGAGAGAAATGACACACTCAGGACAGATAACAACTTATTTCAAAGTGTGAGTGTCTGAGGGCCTCTTTGGTAGCATTTAAGCAGACTTGTTTCCTGCAAACAATCACAGAGTTAAAGGTTAAGTGTAGGCCTTAACTGAGAGTGACAACTTCAGTAAAGCCTGGTGTTAATGTTTATTGAGCACTGACTATGTTCTAAACATTACGGTAAGTGCTTTATGTAGGTCATCATACTTAATCTTCACAACATTATGAGGTGGTTTCATTTAGCACCATCATTTTATAGTTGGGAAAAACTGTGGTTCAGAACAATTAATTCACTTGCCCAAAGTCACAGAGCCAATATATGGCAGAACTAGCATTTGAACCCAGACCACTCTGCTTTCCCAAAGCTAAGTTCTTAAGCAATAAACTATACCATGTCTTATGCACATGATACCCAATGTACCGTCATTAAACTTAATTGATTTTTTTGACTTTATGATTTTGTGAAAGCAATATGCATTTGGTAGAAACTACTTTGAATTTTGAATTTCCGTTTTTTCCTGGGTGAGTGATACTTGGTGAGATTCTTCCTCATGATGCTGGGCAGTGGCAGTGAGCCACGGGATCACGAGGGTAAGCAAGCAATACACTGACAATCATTCTTTCCCATACAACCATTCTGCTTTTCATTTTCAGTGCAGTATTCAATAAAATTACATGAGCTGTTCAACACTTTATTATAAGATAGGCTTTGTGTTTGATGATTTTGTCCAACTGTAGGCTAATGTGAGTGTTAAGAGCATGTTTAAGGTAGGCTAGCATCAGCTGTAATGTTCAGTAGATTAGTTGTATTAAATGCATTTTTTATTTAAATGATATTTTCAACTTATGATTGGTGTATCAGGACATAACTCCATTGTAAGTTGAGGAAGATCTGTATTATTAACCATCAAACATTACAAAGTGGTGAAACTCTGTTTTTGTCATCTGTGTGGAAAACAGTTTGATCCAAGTTATGATAAAATAGTACAATTACAGAATCTTAAAATGTCATGGCTCCCATGGGATCATCAAACCCAGCATTCCACTCAGTGGAGGCATTCCCATTAATTCTTAGGCATGTACACATAACAGATGTTTAATAGCTATTTGAAGAAAACATTTCCTGGCAACAAGCTTATCCAGTTTCTGCATGAAACCCTTCTAATGATGGGGAGCTCATTGCTCCCAAGGCAGCTTCTTCCATTTAAAAACAGCTCTGATTGCCAGGAACGTCTTTCTGAGCTGAAAACTGTTGATCTTCAGTTTTACATATTTCTCTTACTGCTCCTAGTTGCAGAAAAAAAATTAACACAGTTTTATGATTTGAACATTTGGCCGAAAAGCTTTTTGCTGCCATTCAGTCACCACAACCATCAGAGCCTTCCCTTCAAACCTCCAAAAGCAAAGAGAAACAAAGCGTGAAGTCATATATTCTGTTTCCTCAAGTTTGGACAAGTTAGAGGAAGATTTGTTTGCTGAAGTTGCTACGTCCTTATCCATTTTGACATTAAAATCTTGGAAAGGACTAAAGGCAAAAAGGAGAACCCTGGTATCTGCATTCCCATCACATCAGTGAAAGGGCAGCTGGGGCAGGATGAAGCCTGCGATTCTTTCAAGAGTTTTTGTTTCTTATAGCAGCCATCTGAGTGCCACCAGGCCCCGGGCATGAGCTTGGGGTCCTTTCCCTGCAGAAGGAACAATGAAAAACACACCAGTGCTAGTTCTCAAAACTGTGACCTGCACTTTTCACCCAGGAGGCTAGAATTACATCAGTCCCAGTTCTTCCCCTAGACTTACAGAGGAAGGCTCAAGAAGCCCCCGAGACCGCGAGACCTGGGTTCCTAGAAAACCTGGAGCAGGTGGTGCTCTCCGGGCAGGACTCAACACTTTGGAAGACTTGGTCCACTTGTCCGGGAGGGCCCATGTTCTGCTTGTCCTGCCCTGCCTGACTCCACTGCTCTGAGTCCCCGGCTGCTGGTGTTGCAGGGGCTGTGAACTGTGTAGTCGGCCTGGGCATGTAGCCCTCGGGCGAGTGGGCTGAAGCCTGTCTCCTACAGTTTCCTCTCCCCCTGCCCAGACCAGTTTTGTGCTTTGACTTAACCTAAATGATGGGGTCTCTTAGGAAAGGCACTGGACACAAAACACAAGACATTAGCATTCTCCCCTTGTCCAGCATCCTATGATGACTTCACCAGTAAGTGCAGCTCTGGTGCTTTGGACCTAAGGAGGAAGAACAGAACCCAGAGCAATTCCAGAAAAGAGAAACTCCACAAGTGAGAGTGACCATAGATTTGAAACTGTCAAATCACAGATAGGAGGTCTAAGAGATACTCCTTAAAATCAGGATGATGATAGGAGAAGAAATTAAGGGTAATAATCTATAAAGAAGTACCTACAGAGATACAGGAACTATAGCTGATGAAAAATTAGGGACATTCGAGGATGAGCACCAAAATGGAGGAGCTAGGATGGTTGGAATTCATGTCAGCAGCAGTGCTACTGCCTCACAACTGTCCCTTGGTATCTCTGACAGGCAGAAGAATGAGCATAGTAACTCATGAGTTTGATGTAATACAACTACTGCTTTGTTTTATCTGCGGCTGGAAGTATTACAAGTATGTATCACTGATCATGAGTGCGTAGGACGATTGGCACAACCGTCTCTAGGCCTAGATAAATAACATGCCACTGGGGTTATAATCTTGTTTCAAAGAGAAAAATGTATTTGTTGTGCATCTGATAATCTGTTTATTTCTGGTCTAAGCACTTTACTTGGTGTATTAGACTGTTCTGGCTGCCCTAACAAAATGCCACAAATGGGGTGGCTTCAACAATAGAAATGTATTTTCTCACCATTTTGGAGGCTGGAAATGAAGGGTTGGTTGGTTTCTACAGAGGCCTTTCTGCTTGGCTTGTAGATAACCACCTCCTCCCTGTGTCCTTCCGTGGCTTCTGTGTGCGTGGGTGCCTCTGGTGTCTTTCCTCTTCCTGTAAAGACACCAGTCCTATTGACGAGGGCCAATCCTTATGACCTCATTTATCCTTAAGTACCCCTTACAGGCCTGTGTCTAAATAAAGTCACACTGGGGGCTAGGGCTTCATTGAGCAAATTTGGGGGAACACTATTCTGTCCATAACACACAAGTCAGTCTGTAACACAGTCCTTATCATATATTATGATAATTCCTTAGGAGTGTAGTTGGGCAATCTGAGGCTCAGAAAGTTAATAAATTGCCTACGGTCAGATTGGTAGTGAGAGGTGGAGTTGAGATGGAAACCCTGATCTGCCCAGCTCTGCAGCCTGAGTTCTGTCTCTGCAGCATGTAAGAGTATCTTTCCTTACACATTTCTATGAGCTGCACACTCCATTTATTGAGTGCTTTGAGTTTCTAGAACATCGTCATGTGATCTCCAGAAGCTCTGCAGGGAAAGCAAGCAGTGTAGTCCCATTTAGCAGATGAGGAGATGGAGGCATAGAGATAGAATTTGGCTATAATTAGTTACCTCTGAATAGAGCCTGGAGTTGGGATCTCCTGCATCCTAAGCTGATAGTGCTGTATACCACAGTGAGAGAAAGGAAGGCCTCTATATGATGTTTTCACAGCTTTCTGATTCTCCTATTCTGGAAACAGCCTGAGCAAGTCAGGGCAGAAGCCACTGTGGTGAGTGGATTGTTAATGCATCATTCCAGACTCTAGGGTCATGGAACCACCTTTTCTCTCATTGTCTCTGAACTTCAACATCAACCTTTTTCTTAGGAAAGAGACAATCCTTTCTAATTGGAGGAGTATTTGTCTGTTTCTTCTATTTCCCAAACCCTGAGCAGCAAAGATAGTGTCAGCTTATCATGTGTTGAGAATATCAGTTTACTTCCAACACTTTTCTGTGCACTTGTATCTCAGTAGGGAAGTTCTGCTTTGTTATTTTTTAGGCGTGTTAACAGTTTTAGTGATTATAAAACGCTTTCACATCCACTATCTCACTTTGGGTTTGCAGTTTCCCTGTAAGAAAAATGGTGCGAGTATTATAAATAGACCCAGAAAAACACAACAACTCATCCAAGATTACCGATCTATCATCAGGGCTGGAACTTAACAGTCTATCTTAACACTATAGTGGTGACTTCAAACAGGAAAATTAGGAACCTCTAAAAAAGAAGGGTGAAGAAACTTGGCCTGCTCCAACACCTACATCATTTGGCTTTGTGATAAGGGGGAATGTTCTTTGAACCATGAACCAGGGTATTTAGTTTCTGCTCTGGCTCTCCCATTAACTGTCGTTCTGAGCAGGCCACTGCTTTCTCTTGGGCCTTTTCTTTTTCTCATGTGAAAAGGGACGTGGTTGAATTAAATAGCCTCCAAGGGCCCTTCCAGCTCTACCACTATATTCTGTGACCCTTCAGAGTCAAACAGGAGTAGGAAAAAGAGACTCTGATCTACATTCATTCATTCATCCTTGTATTAAACAAACATCTCTTGAAGACCTACTATGTGTGACACTGGCCAAAAGCATTGATAACAAATAATTTAAGACTTGGGGAAATATCACAAAGGCGGACAGGGTATAATGGAAATAAATTACAAAGGGGATCTACTTTAAGTTGGTGGACAAGGAGACCTCTAAGGAGTCAGATTTAAAGCTGAGACCAGAAAGAAGGTATGGAGACTGCATACAAAACCAGACAATGGCCAGACCATAAATAAAAAACGGAACTTGATTCACAATCTAGGGCATCCAGCCTGGGAAACCAACCTATCGTCTACAGGAATCAGCTCAGGAAGCCAGTCCTGCTGTTTACGAGTCAGACTTGCAGGAAGTCAGACCATTCTCGCAACCAATTCAGGAAGCCATACAGTACCTCCTGTAACAGCAGTCCCCAAATAAGCAAGACTTGATTAATAACAGACAGTTTCCCTAATCTTTGCCCTAGCTTCAAACTTAGGACCAACCAGAGAATGCCAAGTATGTACCTTAAGCAGTCACACAGGATGTCCTGCTTCTACTTAGCTGGTCTGTAGCTTCCCCAGGCCAACAGCCTCTGATCGGGGCCTACCTGAATCTGTCCCCTTTGTGCACTGTGAAGCTTCCTCACTGCTTTTCCTGCCTTTGAGTCCTGCCAAAATGCAAGTGCTGGGGGCTCACTACCTTGCAAGCTCTGAATAGCCTTTGTATGCTCTTATTTGGGTGGTCTCGTTTTTTCCTGCAGAGCCAGTTGGGTGAATGGATTGAAGTGGTCCATCCTGGGCAGAAGCAGCTGAAAGGGGATCAAGTGTGGCTGCACGGTGGACTAGAGGGGAGGGATGACCATCCAGGGGTTTGTAATGAATTAGAGTTTACATGCAGGGGAGAGACATAGTCCTGTTTATATTTTTAAAAGTCACTGCTGACTGAAGAATGTGAGCATTGAGAGCAGAAAGAGGATCACGTAGGGTACACCCCTTGTGGCTTAAGGCACAGATGTGGAGGCTGGGATTCTAGTGGGAGTGGGATAGAGAGATGCAGACTAAGCCAGTTTATTATTTAAAGTGGAATCATTCTTTTCTCACTTGCAATGGCTGGATTTTACGGTATGTAAATGATACCTCAAGAATGCTGTTTTCAAAAAATAGAATTGCCAGAAGTTAACAATAGACAGGATAGAGGTGGAGCAGTGAGAGGAGTAGATGCCAACATTGGTTACTGGGTTTTTGGCTTCAGCTCCTGGTGGCTGGTGGTACCACTTATTGGGCTACAGTGAGTGGGGCAGGTGCAAAGATGAAAGTGAGGTGGTGTGTGCAGGGTGTAGGAAGACAGCGAGTTTTGTTGTAGCCACGTCGTTTTGAAACGAGAGACATCCAGGTGGAGATATTTAGTAGACAGTTCACAGAATCTTAAGCTCAGAGGACAGCTCTGGACAGATGGTGTGAACTGGGCAGATGGTAAGCAATTAATAGTGATATGAATGACTGGGCTCACCTGTGGGAAGTTAAAAGCTAGAGGAGGACTCCAGACTGAGTTTTGTAGCTCTCCAATGTTTGGAGGCTGGGTAGAAGAAGAGGAGCCAGTAAGGAAAGAAAAACCTAGTAGAAGACATCTAAGACAAGAAAGCATTTTGAGGAGGACAGAATTGTCATCTGAAAGGCAATTGGAAAGTCCAGTAAATCTGAGGGTGGAAAAAAAAATCGTCACTGTGTTTGGTGCCCTGGAAGCTAGGGGCAAAGAAGTGGTGCAAGGAAAATCGAGATTGGAGCAGGCAGAAGAATGACAGTAAAGACAGTTCATATCACTTGTGTTGAGGTGTTTGGAAGCACTGGGAAGAGGTGAAGTGTGGCAGGTGAAAGGGTGTGTAAGGGGCAAAGAGGGGGCTTTGTGAGAGGAGAGGGGGGTCAACCAAGGTTCATGTGCCCATAGGAATTAACCAAGAGAAAGGGAGAGATTCACAGGCGGGGAAGAAATGGAATAACAGAATTCAAGGGGTTTTTTTGCCCATTAAAAAAATTTTTTTTATTAAGGTATCATTGATATACACTCTTCTGAAGGTTTCACAAGAAAAACAACGTGATTATTACATTCACCCTTATTAACGAGTCCATCCCATACCCCATTGCAGTCACCATCCATCAGTGTGGTAAGATGCCACAGAGTCCCTATTTGTCTTCTCTGAGCTACAGTCTTCCCTGTGACCCCCCACACACCATGTGCACCAATCATGACACCTCACAATCCCCTTCTCTCTCCCTCCCACCCTCCCTTTCACACCCCTCCCCTTTGGTAACTGCTAGTCGCTTCTTGGAGTCTGAGTCTGCTGCTGTTTTGTTCCTTCAGTTTTCCTTCCTTGTTATACTCCACAAGTGAGGGAAATCATTTGGTATTTGTCTTTCTGAGTCTGACTTATGTCACTGAGCATAATACCCTCTAGCTCCATCCATGTTGTTGCAAATTGTAGGATTTGTTTTCTTCTTATGGCTGAATAATATTCCATTCTGTATATGTACCACATCTTCTTTATCCATTCATCTACTGATGGACACTTAGGTTGCTTCCATTTCTTGGCTATTGTAAATAGAGCTGTGATAAACATAGGGGTGCATCTGTCTTTTTGAAACTGGGCTCCTGCATTCTTAGGGTAAATTCCTAGAGTGGAATTCCTGGCTCAAACGGTATTTCTATTTTGAGTTTTTTGAGCAACCTCCATACTGCTTTCCACAATGGTTGAACTAATTTACATTCCCACCAGCAGTGTAGGAGGGTTTCCCTTTCTCCACATACTCACCAACATTTGTTGTCTTTTGGATGGTGGCCGTCCTAACTGGTGTGAGGTGATCTCTCATTGTGGTTTTTATTTGCATTTCTTTGATGATTAGTGATGTAGAGCATCTTTTCATATGTCTGTTGGCCATATGAATTTCCTCTTTGGAGAAGTGTCTGTTCAGCTCTTCTGCCCATTTTCTAATTGGATTATTTGCTTTTTGTTTGTTGAGGCGTGTGAGCTCTTTATATATTTTGGATGTCAACCCTTTATTGCATCTGTCATTTATGAATATATTCTCCCATA